CTGCACTCAACCACGCGATGCTGCAACTCGACTGGGACGATAAAGGCATCAACGTCGACGGAAAGAAGCTATCTAACCTACGATTCGCAGACGACATTGTCCTTATCAGTCAAACTCAGCAGAGCTACAGCGGATGGTGGAGGAACTGAACAACGTCGGCAAAGCTATTGGCCTCACGATGAACCGGAGCAAGACCGAGGTCATGCGCAATGAGTGGGCAGATGCGTCACCCATCACACTCGAAGGCACTGCTCTACCGGATACCGACCGTTACGTTTACCTTGGTCGACTCATTCCATGGACAACAATTTGCGCGAAGAAATTATGAGACGCAAAAAATGCGCGTGGACGGCAATGGGAAGAGAGGCGGCCCAGCTCATTTCGGATAGGAAAATACGAGCTGCTGTTCGACTCTACAGTACTGCCTGCTCTTTGTTACGCATCCGAGACGTGGGCAGAGAACAAGGCGTCCACGCTGATGTTGACACGTGCCCAACGAGCATTGGAACGGACCCTGCTGAATATCAACCGCCGTGAGCAGAGATGTCGCAATCTGCGCAGTACAGACATGCGCTCAATGTCGGGCATCCTTGATGCCGTAGTATACGCGTGGAATGCAAAGAAGAGATGGGCCGGACATGTGGTCAGACGTACGGACGCATCACACTCTGGTATCCGAGAGACGCGAAGCGCAAGGTTGGCCGCCCTGCAACCCGTTGGAGAGACTCCTTGAAGCAACTCCAAGATTTTGCAGACCAACACTGGGTCCAAACCGCTCAAGATCGCAAACAATGGAGGGAAGCGTGTGCTCGTCGCTGAAGAGAACCGGCTGAAGAACGAGCGTCCAAGTATCCAAGTAAGTAGTATTGAACATCAAAAAACTATGTATGTGGCTGAGACCGATCCATACGAGCCCGGCTTCATTAAGATCGGTGACATGGAGCTCATGCGTTCGAGAACATTTATGTATTTCGAAGCAGCAATCGCGTCCGATGGCGGTATGAAATAGAGCAGTTGTCTTGGTGAAAGACAATATCCTCACCTTTCTTTTAAGGACATGTCATCAGACAATATCGCATTGATAGATATGTTAAAACATGTTGTATGACATGTCATGACATATTGAGGACGAGCTTCCCAGTCTGTGTAACCACTCCTACCACGAACTGCGACAGCCCTTAGTTGTTATCCTTAGGTCGGGCTGCTATACCGTGTGCGTTCTCTTGCACATACGCTGTCTATGTTGCGTCTTGTCGTACCTCGTGAGGCTACGTTCGGACTTCGCAATGGCTCGCTCTAACGTGCGTCAAAGACCCTGTTTCCCTATGCCTCAGCGGCCAATTCCGGTAGATATTAGACTGTGTGAAGGGGGCGCCTACCCTCTTGCTATCTTATACTCTTTCAATACGCCCAGCGGCCGGTACCGATCAATACTCATCTGCGGCTGGTTCCCTTTCCTAGCAATTTAACGTCGCGGCAGTGGTAGCGCGTCAACGCGCGTCATAGCGGAGTCTGAATGCTGTCTTTACCGGTCGCACTCGTTCGGGATCCAGCCTCCGGGCTCAAGAAAACTGTTTAGTTGTGGTGTAGGAATAATTCCTGCAAACGATAACGCTCGTGGGAGAGGGGCAAGAACTTGAATCGTGGCCAGAGCGGCCTTTCCCGTCAACTGATGCTTCCTGGCTACCGACTGATGCATCCTGAGCAAGCAACACTTCGTGACAGACGTTGCTTTAGGTGCGCTGCAATCCACGAACTCACACGTTCAGGATACGGACGGCAAAGCAATAGATTGTTGCGTCGTAGGCTCGGCGTACCGTGTGCTCGCTCGGGGAAGTTCACGATGTGCATCAATTTGTCGGTGG